AAAAAAAACAACCGCACGAAAAATATAAAATGGTAGATATTTAGTGTTTTCACATAAGTGAATTTTTCTGTCTCTGTATCTTTTCCCACTCCTTTTCACTTCTTGCCCTCACCAGCTTTCCTCTGGCTCTCAGAGTAAACTTTAAATTTCAACGACGAATCCGTCTGTATTAATTTGTTTGCCGTTGAATTTCGGTTCTAACGTCTTCGTATGCCAAACTAGAATTTCATGTTCGGCCTGAAAATAAACATTATAACTTGAAAATATTTCCCATCAATCAATTAATCATTTAAGTAGATCAACACTAAAGGCAACTAGCAAAGTTATTCGAACTTTTATAAGCTTCATTTATTTTTTTCATATATCAAATCGAAAGGAGCGTGTCTAACGCAGTGGTCGGAGGCGCCCTGAAACACAGACGTGGAAACAACGCCACGCCCATGGGCCGCCAAGCCTTCCATCCCTCCGGGATCGGTAAATTGGTACCAGACTTGTCTGGGAAAGTAGCAACACTGGCTCGATACATCGATTCGACTTAAATTCTAAAGTCCAGATATGCATTCAATCACCTCAAAAAGATGCTTAATGAAGTCAAATACGTGACGCATCCCTCAGGAATTGATCAACGCCGAGAGCTTTATCCTTTATTTTTTTTAAGCTACTGCTAAAGTGACGTCTATCACCTGTATTCCCACTGAANTTCGAGCGACTAGAGCGGGCTCCTGTAATTCTTCCATTTCTTCCTGTGGCGTGCAAGATTATTCCAATCATTTGCTCTCCCTAGGAAGGCGATGATCATTGTATCCTTCATCTGTTTTTTCGAAAAACTCTGACCATCGGATCGGTGGTCTTCGCAGAGTGCTCTTAACATCTCGAAAAATCCAATCACTAATTGATCTGGCCCATCGTATATCATTCAGACGCATTATGTTTTCGGCTCTCCTTATCTTCAAGAGTTTTCCATATGGAACGGCCTATTTTTTTATCGTTAGCGCACCTCGGAGCTTCAGTTACCATCTGCCACTTGCCACAAAATGAAACGATTTGTCCGTAGCACCGTCTTCTCAGCTCCGCATTTTATTACGCTGACCGGATTTCCTTCTTGCTTACCTGGCCACAAGGTTTTATCGACCTACACATGCGTAGCTGATGCATTCAGAGATATTCATTCCGTTGAGGTGAATGGAGCCTGCGAAACCATTGCATTCCTCATATTTCTCATAAGCATTGGTTTTGTGAGATTTAGTCAAAGACTTCCCATAAGCTTAATGGCAAGTATTCATTACGCCTGGCTGTTCAATGGTGTAAAGAACGATGCCATCAGCCACGCGAAGATGGAACTTCCGGCCATCCATTCTCACTTCCACGTTATCCAGTTCCAATATTTGCACGAAGTTCTGGATAATAGCGACATACAACATTAGCAAGACGGTATCGCCTTACCTGAACGTTATTTTTTAACTCGATGTTGATATCGTTATACAATGGTGATATTTTTTTGGCTGTAAAGTTTCTACACAGCTTACGAAGAATCTCTACATATTGATGTAGGAAAATTCCTGACTGTTTAGGCCTTCCAACTGCTTCCGCCTCGACTGAGTCAAAAGCCTTCCTTAGATACGTGAAAGTGAGAGAAATAGAGAGGATTTCTATAGACTCTTCGCGATAGTATTGTTATTGAAAAGATGTGGTCCATCCTACGGAATCATTTTCGAAACCCCGCTTGCTTCCGTAGCTGTCCATCGTCTAGTGTTTTATCGATCCTGTTAAGGATGACTCTACTGAAAAGTTTGTAGACGATAGACATTGAGAAGATTGGACAATAGTCACCGATATCGTGGAGGCAACATTGCGTTCTGATAGGTAACATGTGAAAAGTCGGAGCAATGTCTTTTTGAAGACTGGAGGAGAGGTCTTCAGATGTTCAAGTCTTATCCTGTCTAGAGCAAGTGCTGTTGAATTTTTTACTGACGAAACAACATGTCGGGTTTCGGGAAGGAGAACCGGTGGAACGACATATCCACACTCCTTTATATCATGTGATGGGAGGAGAACGCGGCTACTAAAGGGATTTGAGCAGTAACCGAAGACGATTTGCCATATTGCCTTTCTAGAAGCTGTAACTGTTCCATCAGTGTGCTCGAGTATAGTCATCTTGGTTTAATAATTGGCGATGTTTCGGTGGACTTTGCGAATGCTTTTCCTAGCATCTGCAGTTTCGCTATAGCTGCTGCTCTTTTGTCTTTAAGAGCTTCAGGATCTTCGTCTATGACCTGCCTTCGCTGTTTTGCAAGTTCGAATGGCAGTTGGTGGTTGGCTTTAACCCGCGCGATTCCACACTAGCACAACAGTTTAAGTGTTTCTGGAGATAGACATCTCATGGTGATATTTGAACTAAGCTTTCATAACGCTAAGAAGGAGCCCACTGCATTCCTTATCGATGTTATTAAGAACGACATTTTTCAAACAATCGGCTAAAAAATGAAAAAATCACCGTTTATGGTGGTTTTGGAATTCCGTTTTTTTCGATTTAGCGGCCTTTTCTTTTCTCGAGAAATAAAATTGCGCGCGAAGGAGGAGTGGTCTAACTCCTTGTAGAAATTGTAATGACAGTGATATTGGTAAGTAGAATCTTCGATTTGGCATGATTTGTTCTATTTCGTTATGCTGTTCTTCATTCAGTTGTCCCCACACTCAGCGCTGAGAACAGGGTTTTGGGAATTCTATTTTACCTCCAGAGCAAGCTTGAGGAGACACCTAACCACCACCCATATACTTCCTAAACACTTTGTTACAGGCTTTTAGCCGTATTGACTCGTATAATACAATCCACATAAATGAGAACACACGAATGCACACAAGTATAAATACGTCCCCGTAAACATAGAAGGCGTGCATCAAATAGGTGCAGCAGAAGCAGGAAGCCTTTCACGTGGATCCACCTGTGTGCCTGTTCAGCAAAAGATTTCTTTTAGTTTGCGATTAACCCTCTATCCGCCACGTGGGGACGCCTCACGTTGCCTCTCGTTTAACCGAGATGAGATCCCTTCATGAGGGAAATCTGAACGTGTCATCTATATCATCTGTAATTCCGCTAATTATCGACTAACTTTAACTGGTACCAGCAGTAACACTGTGCATCCCTTCTACGTGCCAGAGCTTAATCCGTTGCACTCCGCAAAAAAACACAAAATTATCACATTTTCCGTTGGCAAACTTTGTTTTCTTTTTTTTCACCATCCGTTAACCACAGACTTCTACCGCGTTATCTTGGCACAGGTTTACTCCTGGTTAAGCCGCCAAACGGAGACGTCGGACAATTTTTCCTCTTATATAACTCAGCTGCAGAGCGATAAACAGCAAAATCTAGATCGTCATTGTTCGACATCGAGGTGGAAAACTTGACCACAGTGCAGGAAACCAGTGGAGAAAAATGTTTAAAAATCTTATAGTCGAAAACAGAATAAAATAGAAAATCGTGAGAACGTGAAATCCTGTTCGGGCAAAATTTCTGAAGCGTGCTACACCTCTGAAGAATTCAAGAAAATTTCCTTAATCTTATTCATTGTCAACTGATAACAAAACGAATTCCGTTTGGTGCTCTCCACCGTGAGGGATTACGTAGCGCAACGGTTAGAGGAGTCTTCAATGTACACATGCATTTTGGCTTCATTGCTACTGGAAAACAAAACTACCTAACTCTTCGAAGTTCTCTAACCGGTATCATATTTATCTAGGAGGATGCAGTCATTAACTTGATACATCAGTACGCCACCGCAAGTCAGTCAGTCAAGTCAAGTCAAGTCATATATGGGCTGGACAATCTGTTTATCAGGTTTTACGACAACAGAAAAAATTTCAGCGCACTTATGGATTCGCTACAAAGGCTTGATGCTCCTAACAGTTTTATCTGCTCAGTGCTCTACAAACATATTTGCAACCACAGGTTTTGGACGTTGACATGGAATTCGTGAAATTAGCTTGCTGACTGACCAGCTTGCATTGATAATTCTGATTGCTTTGCTTTGTTAAAAAATTACTCGTTATTAAACTGACTTTATCACTGTATTCTCCAACACCGAAAGGTTCAATATCAGTTTGATTGAAACCCATATCATCTAGAAAGCACGGCTCTGGTGCATCGAATCCACTTTTGCAAGATTTTCCGAAGACAACGGTGGTCCTGAGATTGCCACATTCAAGATGAAAGTTCATAAAGACAACGTAAATTAGAACTCATATGTACCTCAGCACATCGTTGAGATTAACGGCAAAACCGGCCATATCTACACCAAATTTTCGTTCTGGTCTCCATTGCGTTTTGTAGCCAACTACTGTACCATTGACAACCACAGGTGATTCTAATGGACCGCCGCCTGCCAGTCCTTAATGAAGGCATGGTCAAAGATAGCTGCACAACGTTTTTTCTATGATTTCATCGCTTACCAACTGCCCACATTCCGAGCTTTTTCACATTTCTGATGTAATCGGTGAATAGTCGTGTATCATAGGAATTGTCATCGTCTCCGAAATAAACCACACCTCTTTTATGGTTACCAATCACGGATTCGGTTTCATTGCGCAAAAACTGCAATGCGCATGTACGCTGATACCAGCCGCGTTCTAAAACAACAGGAATGCTTTGTATCAAATTTCCAGCAGCTGAAAATTTCTTTTAAACGCTTTATACTGAAATCTCGACAAACTAAAGCTGTATTTACAGCTCCAAATTTCATTTTTACTGCGGTCATTTAACCTCGACATATATATATATATTCATATACGCGTATATACACAACGATATCTGGGTTTATTGATAAGCATGAAGGATGCTGTTACACTTTCCCACTACAGCTAATTTTAAGCCCTTATTGGCGCGGATACTCGACTCCAATATAGCTGCTTCTCTAAAGAAGATGAAGCTGCCGAAACTCTGGCCGCAATAATGAGTTGTAATGCCTTTGCTCTCCTGAGACGCAGGCGAATCCGAGGATGGACTCCCTGTTTCTGCTGCGGTGATTTGGCACATACTTTCTCTATTTGCAAAACGTATTCATGAATGCTTTTCTAGGTGCGTTCTTGTTTATGTGGATTGTATTATATGGGTCAACTCGGCCAAAAGCCTGCAATCAAGTGACTGGGAAGTATATGGGAGGCGGTAAGGAGTCGCCTCCAACAAATAAGCTCCATGTACAGTCTGGGAGAGCCTGCAAGCTACTCGTGAGTATACCAAGCCCCACGTTTAGAGCCCAGCAAGTTATACGTTGATATCAAAAAACTAAAAACAGCAAAAAAAAAACAAGCCGCATTCCCCTGACCCCGAAAGAGCTCCCAATTTCGCAGCGTTGGGTAGAACGAGTACGGAGAGGCTGCTAAAATCTCAGGGCCAATGGAAGCTGCCTGCATTTCAAAGAAGTATGTTGTCGATCTGTACCTACAACGCACGTACACTTGCATCCGAATCCTCGATAGAAGACTTGCTCATGCAAGCAAGAAGGATAAAGTACGACGTCATCGGCCTGGCCGAGACGAGAAGACGCCAGCCTTTCAACGACGTCTATGACACTGGAGAGGAACTGTTTCTCCGAATATGCGACAGTAAAAAAGTCGGTGGCGTCGGCGTTCTGGTCAACACGAGTTTGTCCATGAACATCGATCCATTCGAACAACATAAAACTCGAATCGGACGCTTACGATTATAAAGACGTGAATCAATTCCGGCTTTGACAATCTTCGTCATTTACGCCCCGACATCAAACTATGACGAAGAAGAAGCCGAAGCGTTCTATGTGGACTTGGAGAATTTCTTCAGAGTAGACCACAAATTCTTCAAGGTCATCATTGGAGAATTCAACAGCAAGATTGGACCAAGAAGAACGACTGAAGAACGTCACATTGGCACCCACCGATTAGAATGGAACGGACGGGGTGAGCGGCTATCTGAGTTTAACATGGCAACAAAGACAATCCTTGGTAACTCTCAACTCCAAAAGCTCCACCCTCAGCAGTGGACATGGGAGTCTCCCAATAGAGAGTTCCATAACGAAATAGACCGCATCATAGTAAAGGGTTTTGAGGTTCATAGGTAAAGGTTCATCACAGGTTTAGCCTAACCGATTTCGCTGTTGTCCCAAAATTCTACACGGAATCAGACCATCGTCTCCTTCGTGCAAGATTCTATTTCTCGCGGAAAGGAGAAAAAGCCGCTAAATTCAAGAACCGAAGTCCCAGAACCACCACAAACTGGGACTTATTCAATTTATTAGCCGGCAGTTAAAAAGATGCCGTTGTCGATAACATCAACGAAGAATGCGATCGGCTCATTCAACATCTTCATCCTAGCGCTATGAAAGCTGAGAGTTCGAACGTCACCATGAGACATCTGTCTCCAGAAACACTCGAGCTGATACGCCAGCGCGGAATCGCACGAGTTGCAGGCAACCGCGAACTAACGTCCGAGCTTTCAAAAAAATGCATACAGACAATAAAAGAAGATATTATAGAGAGAAAAGCAGCAGTAATGGCCCAAGCAGCAGAAGCTGGGAAAAGCATTCACAAAGCCCATAGAAGTTTCGCCAATTACAAGACCAAAATGATTGCTCTCCGGCNACCGCATCATAGTAAAGGGTTTTGAGGTTCATAGGTAAAGGTTCATCACAGGTTTAGCCTAACCGATTTCGCTGTTGTCCCGAAATTCTACACGGAATCAGACCATCGTCTCCTTCGTGCAAGATTCTATTTCTCGCGGAAAGGAGAAAAAGCCGCTAAATTCAAGAACCGAAGTCCCAGAACCACCACAAACTGGGACTTATTCAATTTATTAGCCGGCTGTTGAAAAGATGCCGTTGTCGATAACATCAACGAAGAATGCGATCGGCTCATTCAACATCTTCATCCTAGCGCTATGAAAGCTGAGAGTTCGAAAGTCACCATGAGACATCTGTCTCCAGAAACACTCGAGCTGATACGCCAGCGCGGAATCGCACGAGCTGCAGGCAACCGCGAACTAACGTCCGAGCTTTCAAAAAAATGCATACAGACAATAAAAGAAGATCTTATAGAGAGAAAAGCAGCAGTAATGGTCCAAGCTGCAGAGGCTGGGAAAAGCATTCACAAAGCCCATAGAAGTTTCGCCAATTACAAGACCAAAATGATTGCTCTCCGGCGCCCAGACGGAACAGTTACAGCGTCCAGAAAGGCAATAGAAAAAATCATTCACGAATACTACTCGGATCTCTTCGATAGCCATATCCACCTTCCGTCATATAAAATAAAGGAGAATGAATGTGTTGTACCACCGGTTCTCCCTTCCGAAATCCGAAATGCCATTTCGTCGGTGAAAAATATAACAGTACAGCACCAGGTCCGGACAGGTTAAGACCAGAACGCCTGAAGAACCTTCCGCCAGTCCTCGCAAACACACTGGATCGGCTCTTCACACGTTAATTGTGTGAATGCAAGGTCACTACTCAATGGAAGACCAGCAGGACCGTGTTATTGTTCAAGAAGGGTGACCTGCACTATATCGACAACTATAGCCCAATCTGCTTGCCGTCTGTCGTCTACAAACTTTTCACTCGAGACGTCAAAAACAGGGTTGACAGAACACTAGACGAAAGACAGCGATGTTCGCAAGCAGGGTGTCGAAGAGGATTTAGTATGGTGGACCACATCCACACGGGAACACGGCTCATTGAAGTATTGCGAGGGTGCAAGAGACCGCTCGGTCTCACTTCGATCGATTTACAGAAGGCCTTTGATTCAGTTAACATGGAAGCAGTCTGGTAAACCCTTGATAGTCAAGGAGTCCCTACTCAGTACATAAAGATTCTTCGCGAGCTGTACAAAAATTTCACAACCAAGGTATCACCATTCTACAACGATATTAGCATTGACGTCAAAGGAGGAGTTAAGCAAGGCGATACCATTTCGCCAAAATTATTTACCGCCACCCTTCAGAACGTCATGCGAACATTGGAATAGGATAATATGGGAATGAAAATCGACGGTCGGCAAATAGAACATCTTCGTTTTGCTGATGATACCGTTTCTATAACAACAAATATTAGTCGCGCAGAACAAATGCTTGGCAATTTTGATAAAGCCTGTGTAAAAACTGGTCTTCGACTAAATCTCGGAAAGACGGTGTTCATGAGGAACGGATTGGTTTCGTATGCGCCATTCCCCCTTCGAAAAGCATTTAGTACGATCGACAACGATAACAAGGCTCATTGAAGTATCGCGAGAGTACAAAAGACCGCCCTGTCTCACTTTCAACGATTCACACAAGGCCTTTGATTTAGTTGAGATGGAAGCAGTCTGGGAAGCCCTTGATAGTCAAGGAGTCCCTGCTCGTTACATAAAGATTCTTCGTGAGCTGTACAAAAATTTCACAACCAAGATATCACCATTCTACAACGATATTAACATTGACGTCAAAAGAGGAGTTAGGCAAGGCGATACCATCTCGCCAAAATCATTTACCGCCACCCTCCAGAAAGCCATGCGAACATTGGAATGGGATAATATGGGAGTGAAAATCGACGGTCGGCACTTACACCACCTTCTCTTTGCTGATGACATCGTCCTTATAACATCAAACATTAGCCAAGCGGAAGGTTTGCTTGACGACTTTGGTAAAGCCTGTGGAAAGATTGGTCGTAGACTAAATCTCACAAAAACGATGTTCATGAAAAACGGATTGGTTTCGCATGCCCCACTCACGGCTCAACAGAACATATATCTCTGAATGCTCCAGTTATACTTATCTAGTTCGGGAAATCAATATGATGAACGACCTAGCTCCAGAGTTGAGCAGAAGAAAACGAGCGGCTTGGGGGGCTTTCAAGAACATCGAGGATGTAGTGAAGAGAACAAAGAACACTCGACTCTGTGCCAACCTTTTCGACTCAACGGTACTTCCTGCCCTAACGTATGCCTTAGCAACCTGCCTCCTGCATAAGCAGGTTGAAAGAACACTCAGCGTTATCGAACGCACAGTCGAAAGGACGATGCTAGGAGTATCCCGTTTCACACAAGTGATGGGATCCGAAGCTCCGACCTGTGTCAAAGATCAAAAATCAAAAATGCCGTTCTGTACGCCAGGCAGTCGAAGATAAGGTGGGCCGGACACGTAATGCGAATGAATGGCAACCGATGGACAAGAGCCGTTAGTGACTGGATTCCTCGGGATGTCAAACGTACTGCAGAAAGACCGCCGACCCGATGGTGAGAGTTCTTCACAAAGAGCCTTGAAGAAAGATATGATGCTCGACAAGTCCCTAGAGCGAGCAGAGCCCACTAGGCTACTCTTGCACGCGACAGAGAAAAATGGAAGATTTACTGGCGCCCGCTCGTGTTACTCGACGATCAACAGGACTACATGTGACAGGTGACAGGTGATATGTATACATATCCTCCCCCAAAATGGTTTATCGCCTCATTGTGGCTGGGAGGTGTTCCTCGGTGTTAGACTGTGAAGTATAGAGGGGGATTCATACCCCCGCAGAGTCTGCCAAAGCTGAGGAGTCCGGCTTTTCCATTAGGAAACCCAGCTAATAGTAAACTAATTCCAGAATTCACCACCATTCTGGTACCAAACTAGTCGCATTGTGGCAAATCTCCCTATAATCCACAAGGGCGGCGACTGCCTGTGGTGATGATGACCTGGGGCAGACATTAGCCAAACTGACCTCGGGACTCTAGGGAACCACAGCAGCTTAACCAGCAAAACTCCGAAACAGTGGAAACTACGCTAGGTACCACCACAAACAGCGAAGCCATCCGAGTACCCAAGCAAGCATATGTCCGTTGAAACGCAGGTGAACTCAGTCAATAATCCTTCTCTCTCTGCTGGTACGATTAAACACCTTCCTTAAATCACGGTAAGGTTACCGTCTGTATCGCTTAAACTTCAACTTCAATAAACTGTGTAAATCTTAGTATTATCGCACCTCTGAAAGCTTTTGTCCAGTCAGTTTTATAGTGGGCAACGTCTTCAGTTTCCACATGATCTCGACCACAGATCGACTCAAATATTTGAATGTCTGAACTTTGAACGGTTGCAAATCGAGGATCGCGACCCATAGTCCTCATCATTCGGACTCCTCCAGCCATTATTCTTTGCATCTTAAATATCCAAAGAGTGAAAAAATTGTTAGTGGAGTACTGTATCATGAAAATGTGCCACAAGAAACGGCTAAGTGTACACACTTTACATTTAAATAAGCTTAATACTTCAGCGCTAAAAGGGTGCTACACCTTCAAAGCCTTACTAAATTTATTTACTTTAGGTCACTAAGTCGTAGACTTTGCTTAGAGGATTGCCAGTCACTCTAATTAACTCATCAAACTCTTTGTTGTTCGATCACTGTAGAAGTATCTCCGCCTTCTCCTTCGTTCGCTAAACTAAGAGAAAGAAATAAACATCCACACCACTAAAAAGATCGCGCCAAAAATGGACCATGGACCCATCGGAGTAAATCCCCACACTGGAAATGATTTGCTTTACTATGTAGAACTGCAAAAAATCCTAACAGGATTACTCAAACCAACATTTGGCTTAATACATCAAACCATGAATAACGAGGAAAATCATCCTGTTTGACAGAAACCCAAGCACAAAGCAAACTCCTCCTATATTAAAATATCCATTCAGTGTATCTTTTTATAAGTCGGGAACTCCAACACTATTTTTTCACTGAAAACCATGTGATTTCACTTGGAATCATATCGTCATCATCATGAGGAGCAACAATTCGTGTTACACACTGTGTCGAAACTAGCTCTCAAAATGTTTTAGGATTTCTTCCTGTAATACAACAGAAAAGAACAAAAATCATCTATATTTATTATACGTGACATATTTACTATTACAGCATGAAGAAATAGAGAAAACACTGCACAATAACCACATACTACGCAGCAGTCCTAAAGTGGTCCTCAGCAGTTAACCTGGACTGGATTTTTTCCTCGGCCAGGATTCTCTCTCATGTTTGTGTTCGTATTACTATAGGACTAGAAAACGACATTCTACTGGAAATTATGAAGCAATTAGTACTATTCCTTACTCTTCTGCACACCTTCCAAACACTGATTTCATTTGCTGTCCTGCCAATGTACTAGAGACCCTTATTCTTGTGGCTCTGAAAGCAAATCCTCGCAGAGAGTAATTCTTAACGGAAAGAATTGTGTTTGCGTGTGCTGAAACAGGGAGGTCTTAAAAAACAGAAAGGTAAGGAGTGTAGTAACTTCAAGTGACAGACGATTCAATAGACGATTAGCAGATGGACTCGCGATTAAGATTTTTTGAATCTCCCCTACAGAACTTCCAAGAAATATCCAAAGAGAAGGAAAAGAACACTGAAGCATGCAGTCTCCACCCAACTACAATTCTGTACTCAAGGTAATAGCAAAGCTTTCACGTATGTATTCAAAGCTAGCTGTGACCCCAACGAGCGCTTCTATGGTTTTCAAAAACATAGGAAATTCATACCTTTGCTCAACTTGGCTCAAAGTAACACTGGAAAGAAAACTAGTCAGTAGTAAACAACGTCGGCTAATTTGCTACTCTTCCCCACGAATGGAAACCAACTCTTGTCGGACTTTACCAGAACTAATATTCATTAATATTACCTACGGACACTCTTAGTGGAGCAGTGGTCGCAGGCGCACTGCAATACACATGGAATCTATCCCGCGCCCCAGGCTCACCAAACCCATTCCTTCGGGGTCGGCAAGTTGGTATCAGGCTTGTATGGGAGATAGCAGCGTTGGCTCTATACATCGGCTGACTACCGATAGTCATTGAACGAGCCAAATATGCATTCAATCACCTCCAACGATGCTTAGTGAAATTGAACGCATCCCGCATCCCTTGGTGATTGATCAATGCCGAGAGCTTCAGAGCTTCATTCTTCCGCTAATATTGGTTCTATATTTAAATTGATAAGGAAAAATAAACAAAGACAATCAGAATGGTATCTAAGTGACATATTGACCAGATTGCTCACAGCAATAGTGCATCCCGTGCCCCTAAAAAAGCACTGCAATAAATCCATGATTACTGCTCTTAGGAATAAGTGAAGAAAATAACTAAAATATACTAAACAGAACGTTCGGAATAATAAACAAATAGCTCTGTGATTTAATTGCTCCACTAAGTCAAACGTTAACACAATCCGCTAGACACAATAGGTAACAAATCTAAAAACACCTTTATATTTGAACCCCCCATCACTTAGGACAGACGAAGTGTGCGCCATAAAAAGATTGAATTTGATAACAGCCTGACTGTCACATCAGAAATCAAACCGTTCAGACATACACTACTTTAGCAGTGCTTGATGTGAGTACCCGTAATAAACCTGATGACATGAACTACTGCTTACGAGTCTATAGAGCTAGCAGAACAAACTAAATGAGGAATACCTTGAAAAATTTAGAAGCACAGAGGATAAACACCGGTACAGAATACGAAAGCAGATATCAGAAGGTGAATAATAGTCGGCGTTGATCAATCAATCCCTGAGGGATGCGCCATGCATTCGACTACATTAAGCATCGTTGGAGGTGATTGATTGTTGCATATCTGGCTTACAATGACTCGCGGTGGCTTACTAATGTATCAAGCCAGTGCTGCTGTCCTCCCAGACAGGTCTCGTACCAGTTTGCCGATCCCGAAGGGATGGATGGCTTGGTGAGCCTGAGGAGCGGGATCGATCCCACGTGTATTGTAGCACGCCTTCAACCTCTGCACTACACGGGTCCCTACGGTATAGTAAAGTAGGTAATATGTAAATAAAATCAAGTAATAGGAAGTCGTCCGCATGTTACCGAAGAAATCCTAGGTAAAAAAAAAGCGTTCTCCAGCTAAAGAGGAAGAAGACGATGCCAGACTGCAGACCCATGACACCGCAACGCGGCAGTCCGCGGCAACTCAAATCGCCATAGTTCAGAATATTGAAATATAGCACGTTATTTCCCGTGAATTCTTCTCCTGTGCTAGTTCCGGATTTGCTCTTAGTCTATAATTCTGATGGGAATCACAAAGGATTATCTGCGCTACGTGCATAGTGGAAGCTGTGGATGTGTGGCCTCAGTAAACGGAGAGATCTGTTCCATTGATGCGAAGATATGTGCAGTAACCGCTTGCGAAAATGTCAACTTTTACAACATGAGAACAAATGAGAAGGTATATATGTCGTTTTTCTGCAAACCTTTGGATTATGTCTGTTTGGAAAGAGCCAGAGGTGCTACCTTTTCGTAGGAATGTAGTTTTTATAGGTATAAATACAAGATTCGTTTCAACTTAAGGTCAATGAGATATCGGAATCGACGAGGAATGCTACCTGTATGAAGCTTAGCCGAGACAAACGATGGTTGGCTGTGGGCTATGCGGATGGTGTCATTCGATTATTCGACAGAAAAGCAAATGGTTAGTGGCTTGTGTCCGTTTGCTATCCATCAGTTGACTGTGATTAACTCTCTTTCAGAAACGACAGGTGTCATATTTTCTGGCCATAAGAAAGGAGTGAGTTGTTTGGCTTTCAGTCACGATGGGCTAACGTTAGTCTCTGGAGGAAAAGTAGGTATAGTTCAATTCATCTCGGTCTTAAGGGTTGTTTAGTTGCCGATATCGTGGTACAGTGTAAATGTTCTCTGGGGAAATGTCTACGGTTAGAAAACGGTGTAGAACCTCCTAAAGTTTTCAGTCGGACAGATGATGCCAAGTAGTTTCTTTGTTTTTCCACAACAATGCTTTTGCATTTCGATCGATTAAGGTTTTCATCAGGAAGCCCAGCTAAGAGTAAAGTAATACCAGGATCAACCACCGTCCTGGTATCAAACTAGCCACATGGTGGCAAATCTCCTTCTGTTCTACATGGGCAGAGACTGCCTGTGGTGGTAACGACCTGAGGCAGACTTTGACAAGGCTCACTTTGGGACTCTAGGGAACCGCAATAGCTAAACCAGCAAATCTCCGAAAATAGAGATTATCCTGGGGCCCGCACAATCAGTGAGGACAGGCCATCCAAGTATCCAAGAATACTTTTGCAGAGCAGAACAGTTCTATAAACAAATCTGTAGAAGAGGGGTTTTAAGGCTTTGGCAAACGTTATCAATAACACGGCTGAAAAAAAGGCGAAACTAAAGATCCGCGTAGTGTGGTGATGAATGCGTCAGCCCGCGGAAAGGATAACAGTGAGTTTGATCTCGACCGCAGACACCTGCGTTCCGGCGTTTTGCAAATGTCTCTGCTTTCCCATCATACTTTGGTATGAGAAAAGAATAGGCAGTAGGTAAAAAGTGACTACATTGTTAAGAGGATTTTAATCCATATAATGCGAGTTTTATTTCCTTTCAAGTTAACTCAACGTAGTAAAGTAGTACTAGGAAATGTATAACCTGTGGCTATTTATGAGGAGATTATTCGTTAGGGAGATATAGGGATCTAACACAATAAATAAAAGGATAAAGCTCTTGGCATTGATCCATCGCTGAGGAATGCGCCATGCATTCGACTTCACTAAACGTCGTTGTAGATGATGGAATGGTTATCTGGCCTTTAGAATGACTCGCGGTGGCTTACTGATGTGTCGAGCTTGTGCTGCTCTCCTCCCATATAAGTCTAGTGCCAATTTGCCGATCCTGGAGGAATGGATGGCTAAGTGAGCCTGGGGCGCAGGGATCGATCCATGCGTTTTGCAGGGTGTCTCCGATCACTGCATTACACGCGCAACGCAACAAATACGCTCCGGTACTATATTTAGCGGTGAACATTGTTTGTCTTAGTCTAACATCAAGTGTTCACATTGACAGGACTGCGCCGTTATCCTTTGGGATATAGTCTCGGAAAGTGGTCTGTTTCGTCTTAATGGACATAAGGGTCCAATCACTCATCTTGCGTTTGCGCAATCTGATCAGTTTCTTTTGTCATCGTAAGTTTCATTGAACTAACTTTTTACAACTCCATGGTTTAGTTACCCTTTTTTGATTCAGCTCGAAGGATTGCCTTGTCAAGTTTTGGAGTATCAAAAGTCAAAGCTGCTTCTACTCTTTGTTTGACTGCCGTTCTGAAGTATTCATTTTCAGTGATTCTTTGGATTTCACGTTGTTACCTACTTTTTACTACTTTTCTACCATTACCATCTAGTTGTTTTATTTCAGATTTACTCATTCAGTCTTGTTTTGGATGAGAGTATGATCTTAGTTGCTAGCGGAGAAGCCGAATTATTAGTGTATGAGTTAATTTGGTTGAAAGACGGAAAGCTCCCGTCCTCGTTTGGATCCGATGAGCCTGAAAATAAAAAACTGTCTTCTGAGCGACAGACTGATGAAGATTTGATCGACGATATGGCAAATGTTAATTGTTATGATAGTGAGACATAAGGACCTTTTCATTCTTACCCTTACTTTTATCTATTTAGCGCTATGTGCGAGTAAATGTGCGAGGAAAACTGTTACGGCAAGGTAAGGGACGTGCCCTTCAGCTTGCTATTTCACCCGACCAACGATTTGTGCTATGCTTGGTCAGTTTTCTTGGTAGTAGCTCGTTCTGGATTTTTAGCACTACAACAGAGATTTCTAGTGCTTTTAAGGTTAGAAGCATGTAATCTTTCTTTGATAAGGTTGCACAAGGTTGATAAATAATTTTTATCCGGCTATTGTTTCAACGTCTTCGTCTTCATAAGAGCCTTCAGAACTGTAGAGTATTGACTCCGATCATCGCCTCTGATAAGGACGAAGATGTCAAAACGTTCGCCGAATAAAAATTATTTATCAACCTCGTGTAAGCCTATCGAGGAAAGATTACACATTGATTGGTCATACCGAGGTTAACATCGGTTTTGAAATACCGAAGTTAGCGTTTTCAGGGATCCGATAAGAGCGTAGATATCTATCGCGTTTTCACTGAAGCCGAATCAAGCAAGCGATTACTAAAGAAGCTGAAGAATGCCAGGAAGCGCATGACGATGTACTTTATTGGAAGAGCTAGTTTTTTTAATTAACTATATAAACTCTTGTTCAGGTGTTTTTTTTTTGACTGGGGTTTTTTTCTTTCTTAACCTCCCTATCATTTCCTTCGTAAATTTCTCACTTACTCAGAGTCGTAGTTTCATTTCCTTTTGCTTCACCCCGATAGGTGGCCACAACAGTGGTGTGTTCCGTGTATCAGTGTTTAGCAGTTGCTTTCCATAACCCACATAATTTGTTGAATGGTTGGACGGGAAGTTTTCGTAAATCATGCACAATTATTCTACTAGCTGTGGCTCCCAACGATTTGCCTGGGTGTGGGGCTGGCTAATAGTAAACCAAGATCAGGATCCACCACCATCCTGGTACCAAACTGGTCGCATGGTGGCAAATCTCCCTGTGATCTAAGAGTGCGGCGATTACCTGTGGTAGTGACGACCTGCAACAGACACTGGGCAGGCTGACCTCGGATCCAGAGAAGTACAACGACTAAACCAGCAAAACTTCGAAAATAAGGATTATGATGAGGAGCACACAACCACTGAATACGGACCATCCAAGTATCCATATAAGTAAGTAAGTAAGTAAGCCGCGCAACTTACGTGGATTCTTCTGTCGCGCCTTCTCAACTTACTCCCACAATCATCAACATTCTCATAAAATGATTTGATCATGATTTGAACATCGGGGTTGGAACACCAAACAGCACAACTTGAGTGATACAACTACTCGAGGTAAGCATCGTGGCTTCATGTACGTAATCTTTCGACATTTCTAACACAAAGCCTAGATGATGGGACAACTCATCTAGAAAAGACATAATCGCTCAAATGTTATTTTTGAAGAAGTACGTGGGTAGTATAAAGGTTATCAAAGAATTTACAGTGGAGCAACAACCACTGAAGTCAAAGAGGAAGATGTCATGAAAGATATAACCATTGTAATTAATCGAGTTGGAGAATACCGTACAGCGACCAAGATGAAATGGGCAGATTTCGCCCCCGTGTACAAGATGGAGGAGGATGGCACAATGCAGTACTCGGTAATTTCCATCGGCAGAATTAAATTATTCATTAAATTGTTGTGGACTGCATTTCAGGTTTTTGCTTTAATGTCGAAGAACACCGTGCATTTCCTAAACGTGAAATGTGATCTCACCTCTAACACAGTATCATTCGATTGTGTTTCTACAATGGATCAGGTTCGTTTGTTTTGCATTACTTATTTGGACACTTGGATGGCCTATCCTCACTGGTTGTGCGAGCCCCAGCAAAATTTCCATTCTCGGAATTTTGCTGGTTTAGCCATTGTGGCTCTCTGGAGTCCCGAGGTCAACCTAGCCAAAGTTTGCCACAAGTCGTCACCACTGCAGGCAGTCGCCGTTGTTGTGGATCAAAAAGCGTTTTGTCATCATGCGACTAGTTTGATGCCAGATCGATGGTGGGTCCAAATATTACTTTATGCTTAGCTAGGTTTCCTGATGGAAAACGCCGGAGTCTTTCTCAGCTTGGGAGACTCTGCTGGAGAGACGATTCCCCCGCTGTACATTGAAGCCCGGTACCCAGGAATACCTCATAGCCATAGTGAGCCGGTAACCGTTTGGAGGCTTGTTTCGCACTAATATTTGAGAATGGTAAGAGAAATAACAAAAGAGCAGTTTTATACTTTACAAGTCTGCAGCTGCCTAAGCTAGGGTTGATTTCATTGTAAGGAAAAAGCAATAGATTTTTTCCTTCAAATTGCATACGCCTAAACGAGTAAGTCCTTGTGAGTATCAGCGAGCGGTTTTTTTTACTATACTGTGAAAACGTAGAAAGTTGGTTCCTGTGTCTTAAATTATAAGAAAGCTTGGAACTGACAGGAATCCGTCTTTCGGACAGGGATTAGAACGGGGTTGCTATGAAAGTGAAGTCCACTGATTTTCTCATTTTCCTAATTATTTCGAATACTTTCTTTTTGCCACCTTTCTTCAGTACTCAAACCTATTGTAACCTATACTTAGTATCAGTTTGGTACAGAAATGATGGCTGCTTTCGTCTTTCTTAACTTTATGACTAAATTTTGTGACAAATATGCATTGCTGACATCGTTATACATGGTAACCTAAAGCTTACTTGTTCCTTAAGAGCTTGTTATGCGACGGTTTTTTGTAACATTTCATTTACAGTAATTTTAAGCTGGGTGGAATGATGCTGTCAAAGCATAGAAATAGGACAGTTTGCTTAACAAGTTCAAATGTGGATACGAATAATATACATTGCAGAAGTGCTTGGGTTTCTTATAGGAGATGTTCTTTATGACGGAGAAGGTTGTAGGAGTATTCCGGACGTTATCGACGACCAACCAAAGCCTTCAGTCGCTCTTTTCTTCCAAAAACTGATTGTGTGATTGTAGAGAAATTCAATGTTCACCATTAAAGCGACCTTTCATCATCCGAAAGACCCTAGAAAGATGAGAAAGCTCAATTAGTATGTGCAGTACGAATTCAACGAATGCGAGATTACAATTTCAACTTATTATATATTAATAACTTCAATGATACTGAGATATTTGCAAAACTCCGGACCGCAAGTGTTTGCGGCGGGGAACGACCGCGCTATTGTCCTTTCCGAGGAGTAGCACGCTCACCACCACACTATGCGGGTCCTTCGTTTCGCCTGTCTGTCAGCTTGCTCTATCGATCTCTGCCATCAGCAATCACTCGTCAGCGGGATTGATCTGGGGAGCTCAGATCGGCAACGAAAATGTTCAAACATATTCGTTACCCACCGCAGACACATGCGGTCCGGAGTTTTGCAAATATCTCAATATCATTGAAGTTATATTTCGCAATATACCCTGCAATTAAAAACAGTAGGTGGTAAATAATGCTTTACCGCTAATAACTTAGTAGTTTCTTAAACAATTTCGTCGTTTACTTTGTGGGCAGATTTTGGGGAACTGAGGCGCCACGGTTAACCTCTTCAAATAATCCATGTCTTCCAAAACTTCTGAAATATGTTCCGCATAAGCGATTTTCCATTTTGCTGGCAAAAGTTTTTAAACTGTAGTAGCTTTTAGTTTGTACCCACCAATAGAATTTTAAGATCATATTATAGCATATGTGCGCGTGTAGTGCAGTGGCGTCCTGCGATAAGCATGGGATCGATCTCTGCGCCCAAGACCCACCAAGCCTTCCATTCCTCCGGGGTTAGCAAATCGACATCCGACTTCTCTCGGAGGACAGCGGCTGTGGCTCGATACATCAGTAGGCCACCGCGAGTCATTGTAAAGGCCATATTAGCATTCAATCACATCCAAGAAATGCTTAATGAAGTCAAATGCATGGCGCATACCCCAGGGATTGATCAAGCCGAGAGCTTTCTCCATTCCGGTATATGGCAATTTAGGGTTAAAAATGGGAATGAGGCTCAGAACTTGAGTATAGTATTCCTTTCACGTTATCTCTTCTCGTTAAAAACTATCGTTACTCGAAATCAAGTTTATTGAATTTAGCATGGTCATCGTAGTGATATCCGTGGATTGTCAGTATCGTCGTCCAATAACGCTGTTGTGTCTGGAGGAGGAGATGAGGTAAGTCAACTGAGCGGTTCTCACCTTAACAGCTCACCATTGGTTTGTAAGAAAGTAGTTGATAATGTTTTTACGTTTAGTTTTCTGCCTTCTGTAATTTTCATGGCAGATTACTAAGCGAAATACAACCACAACGTTGCTGAGATATTTGCAAAACTATGGACCGCAGGTGTCTATGGTGGGGAACGAACGCGCTATTGTCCTTTCCGGGGAGTAACGTGTTCACCACTACACCATGCAGTTCCTTCGTTTCGCCTGTCTCTTAGCTATTTCTATCGATCTTTGCCACGGCAATCACCCGTCAGCGGGGTTGATCTGGGGAGCCCAAATCGGCATAGAACCCAGTTAAGCTGCGGCTGTAGTTGAAGTCACAATATTTTTACCTTTTGTTTTCTGCCTTCAATAATTTTATAATAAAGTAGTTGATAGTTTTGTATTCATTAAGCTTATGATATGGAACACTCATTCACTTCGTCCTGTTGCTTGTTTTCAAAATGAGGCCATGACCGACGTGACTGCTGTCCTTTTTGCTACAGGAGATGGCTATGTAGTTGCAGGAACGAAGGTAAGCATCTCCAGAAGTATTATCGCACTTTTCAAAGGAAAATGCTCGTAATTCTCTAAACATTCCTTTGTTTTTTGCGCTTACAAATTTTAAAGACTGGGAAAAGTCGATTTAACCTATAGATTTATTTGGCTTCATTATTGTTGAGCATCTCGTTTGTGTGGACTCAAGAGTGTCCATGGGCACTAGATGCGTTTTACTTATAGATGTAAGGTCCAAGGTTTTAAGACTAATTCTGATTTTTGATTATATGGCAAACTTGTGTGTAGATATAATGTTTTCTTGTTGATTTAGCAACGAGATTTGTTGGTGTGGTGGACTGTATATTGTAATAACTTAGCGCTTCGGTATATTCGCGTTCCCCAAATTATTCTACGGGGTTAAATTAACCTGGACCATTTATTACCATAAGCCATTGTAACAAATATAGGGTTTTTCAGCGAAAACTATTAACAAAGAAGGAGAAATTTCTTTGACAAATTCCCTATATTCTCGATGAGCTATGCTGGGAACGGTTAACGTGTGGTCAAAAATGTCCAGTGGTTTATTAAAAATTTTCTGGCCTTCTCTAAAACTGTTTTCATTTGCCAGTCGTTGGAGTTCATCGATCAGTGTCAACTAGCCGAGTTGCTTCCATATTTTGCTTCCAATACTTTGTCTTGTAACATACTAGTCGGTATTAGTCAGGTGAACTGTTCCTGTGGGACATAGGAGGATGTGAGCTGGTAGAGTCTCGAAAAGGTCATGAAGGTGCGATTTGGGGCATTGTCCACATTTCAAATGGCAAGGTAAGTGCGACATTCACGGCCAGATAGTTTGATTTTTATTTCCTTGTATATCTTAACCTTTGTAGCTCTTCGATTTAGCAAATAATGACTGTCTCATCCGACAAAAAGGCAAAATTCTGGACTTATGAAGTTGTAACTGAGGGGACGCGGTAATGTTTTTTGAGATTCTCCTTGTCTTACAAGTTCTCATCAGTATCATTTTAGCAAGCGATTGTCGTTTCGTGAAAGTCGGATCCTGGAGGTTCCCGACGAAGCACTCTGCTGTGCAGTTTCTCCTGATGAGAAGGTTTGTCTTGATTCCTCATTAAGTTCGTAATATTTTATCTCCTTTTTGATACTACCCATTGCCTTCTGGCGATGATTGAACATGATCTTTCTTTGAGGCCCGTGTAGTGGAGTTAGTCCGATTGTTTCATGCTTTTTCTCCGGGTTAAGAGCTTTCAAGCTGATATTATGAAAACCTACTGATTTTCGAAATCAGTGCTCTCACCGTAAATACCAAAATCACCATTGAAGCATCTAGGCGATTTTAAAAATTTGTCTTCCTCCTTGCACAGGCTTAATGTGTACTTGTGTAACGTTACATTGACGACAAAACTCGTATGTAATCAATACTTCCACTTTCTACCGTTGGTTATTGTTGGTTGGACAGCTTATCTTTCGAGTGGTTTTAATGTGAATATGAATTCTATAGTGTGATGTTCGCCAAAATTTCAGTTCGTGATAATTGGTTTACTGGATAACACAGCTGCTGTTTACTTTGCCGACACGTTGAAATTCTTCATCTCACTCTACGGACATTCGCTTCCAGTGACTTGTGTAACAGTTAGCCCTGTAGGTTGCTCTGAGCAATTCTTTTTCCCTAAAAGGGATAAACGACAAAAAAAAGGATTTGCAGGACAGCAAACTTGTCGTAACAGGGTCGGCTGATAAGTCTATTAAGATATGGGGACTTGATTTCGGAGATTGTCATAAGTCCTTCCATGCACACGACGACGTGTAGGTTTTCTTAAGTTAATGAAAGCAAGAACTGAAAATGTGACCTTAATTAGTTTTGGAGACTGGAGTTTTCCTGTTCAGAGTTTCTGAGGTCCTCTTTTCGCCATCTGATGAGATGCTAGTGTGGTCAGCAAGTCGTGATGGTAAAATTAAGCAATGGGATGCAAAGAAGATGTGCCGCGTACAGGCATGTTACACAGTTCTTTTTTTAGTTCTTCGTGACCGAGTGAGTCAAACTTGGCTCATACACTGCGTAAAATTCCATGGCGTTCCAACTTTAAACCAACTCGTCATAATGTTATACCTCTTTGTTTTCTGCCTACTATAATTTCGCGGCAGGGTACTAGGCGAAATACAACCACAACGTTGCTGAGATATTTGCAAAACTCTGGAGCGCAGGTGTCTATGGTGGGGAACGAACGCGCTATTGTCCTTTCCGGGGAGTAACGGGAGTAAAAAAAAAAGTATAACATTGTGATTTCAACTACAGCCGCAGCTTAACTGGGTTCTTTGCCGATTTGGGCGCCCCAGATCAATCCCGCTGACGGGTGATTGCTGTGGCAAAGATCGATAGAAATAGCTAAGAGACAGGCGAAACAAAAGACCCGCATGGTGTGGTGGTGAACGCGTTACTCCCCGGAAAGGACAATAGCACGTTCGTTTCCCACCATAGACACCAGCGCTCCAGAGTTTTGCAAATATCTCAGCAACGTTGTGGTTGCAATTCGTCATAGTTCATAGCGAACCTCAGTACAAAATTTTGGGATCTGTAAGTCGCCATCATCAAGGCAGAAGATTTGTTATCTTACGGTATTGAAATTCTGGTTTCTTGCTGCACGCCAAATTTTGTTTTCCTTTTTTTACTTTGAGTCTCGTATCCTAACGGTTCGCCATCTCACTGTGGCTGTGAGGTATTCCTGGGTGTCGGACTGCGATGTACGGCAGGAGGATTCATTCTCCTAGGGTCTCCCAAGTTGAGAACGGGTCCGGCGTTTCCATCAGGAAGCTCAGCTAAAAGTAAACCAATACCAGGATCCACGACCGTCCTGGTATCAAAGTCGCATGCTGGCATATCTTCCTCTCATCCACAAGGGCTGCGACTGGCTCTGGTGGTGAAGACCCGGGGCAGACTTTGGCCAGGCTCATCTCGGGATTCCAGGGAACCACAAGGCTTAACCAGCAAATCTCTGAAAAATGGAGGTTATGCTGGCACCCGCACAGCCAGTGAGGACGAGCCGTTAAAGTATCAAGTAAGTAACAGACTCGTACCTCTCAAACGGCGAAGTGAGTGAATAAATTTTATTTTCACAAAGTTGCTGAGATATTTGCAAAACTCCGGACCACGAGTGTCTGCGATGGGGAACGAACGCGCTATTACCTTTTCTACGGGCTAACGCGTTCAGCACTGCACCATGTTCAGCATCGACAGAATGACACAATGTTGTCCTCAAATGCAGTAGTGATGTTGGAACTTACTGTGCTTGTGTAAAAAATTTTTAGATACTTTGTTTTTTGGTTCTTTATAAATTGCGGCTGTATTCATCTTGGGGTTAAAATTTTTTAGATGGTATATATATGTATACCTTTAGAACAGAACAATTAGACAAAACCTTTCCTATAGGGTCTTTCAAGTTCTCAAATTCCCTATCACTGTTGTCATCGAAGATTCAGCATAGTGCTAAATGTTCTGGTTTTTGCGGAGTTTTACGGGAAGCTATTTTACAATAGTTTAGGTTTTGTCGTATTTGATTTCAGGTTTTGGACAGGCATTCAGCTGAGGTACGTGCATTGGCTCAAACTGATACCGGTAATTTCTTGGTTAGTTTTGTAAAATTTGTAGATATAAAATTGTATTTATGTTGTGAGTTAATAGTTACTTCTTAACGATCTTATCCAGTTATACCATAAATGGTGAATAGCAGCTGTTTATTAGGTCGTGCGCTTCCTATTCTATCTACGTGATTTTCAGTTCTCTGCGTCGCATGACAAATCTCTGCGGTGTTGGGAACTTACGGAAGAAATAATAGTTGTTGAGGAGGAGGAGGAGATTGAAAGGTATTCTTGGGTATAAGTTTCCAGTGGTTTTCCTTTTAAAAGGCCTACTTGCCTACTAGAGATTCTGTTGTAGGAATGTTTTTAAGAAGGAGAACAATTACATTTTTTGTTCTTCATAAAGCAAAAATGTCAGTTCTACCTATATGTAACTCAAAATCGGGTTGATGTAATAACATCAATAACACAGCAATAACAATAATATAGGGCACCATGGATTTAACGACAATCGCAAACTCCAGGTCAAAATATTCGATTTTAAAGAAGAGTTTGTGCTTTTCGGAATGGTACACAAAGAAAAGTTTAAGGGAAAAAGAATACGAAGCGCGTTTGCTTGATGCGGAGGATGTGGTTTCTGGTGAGGCAGTTGATGCGGAAGCAGGTCTTGCAACGGTGAAGAATAAACAAAGTATAATATCGGTAAGTGAATTAGAATAATCCTATGAATAGCATATAACATCATTTCTTCGATTTGCTAGTTCAGATTCATGTTACAGATTTTATAACATTTGCCAATGTGGTCGATTGATATCCTGATGCAAAGCGCAAAGTGGCGTTACTCACGCATACGTTCTCGTTGATTCTCAAAGAAGAGGCTACGTATCCGTCTTTCTTTGCTAGAAAATGCGTGTTATTTCTTCAAACGGGAACTTGTTCAAGAAATGAGGAGAGAGATATCCGTCCTGTGCTACTTATTGTGTTCATTTATATCTATTTGGATACTTGGACGACCCGTCTTCACTGGTTGTGCAAGACCCAGGATAATTTCCATTCTCCGGAGGTTTGCTGGTTAAGCCTTTGTAGTTCCCTGCTGTTTCGAGGTCAGCCTAGCCAAAGTCTGCCCTAGGCCGTCACAACCATAGGCAGTCGTCGCCCTTGTGGATCAGAGGGAGGGTTTGCCACTAAGAGACTAACTAGTTTGATACCGGTGGTGGATCGTGGTATTGCTTCACTATAGTTTATTGTGTTGATTTCCACAAGCGAGATGTAAATTTCATGGCGTATCTGTGTGAAAAAGATCACTGTAAGAACTTTTTGCTGGTTTGTATTTCAGGCAGAGAACATTATAGAGGCCATTGATGTTTTGCGAAATGAGGCGGTGCAAGTACGAGAAGATCCTCAGGTATGAAGCTTCGTTAAGATTTCGATGTTTTTATTTTGTTTTGTTTTTTGATTCACTTCCATGTTTAACCTGTCCTTCAACACGTTCGCGTCGAAGTGACTTCATATGGTGTCATACAATGAACGAATAATGACCACGTTCAGTTGGTGAACCACTGGAATCTACAGATTCCGTGCATAACCTATAAGTTCTCTTGTTTTACCATGATGGCATCCTGGTTTTCGTGCGCATTACTTTTTTTACCCTTTGCATCAAGGGTCTTATTTCGAACAGAAAACGAGTTAAGCAATCGTGATATCTCGTTACATTCGGATTCGGACTTACGACCTCGTATAAGCTTATCATGGAAACAATACAAATCAGGATTTCATCCATTAGCATACCTGATACTTTATATTTGAATGGCCCGTCCTCACTGGTTGTGCAGGCCCCAGCATAATCTCCCTTTTTCGGAGAGTTGCTGGTTAAGCCATTATGGTCCCCTGGAGTCTCGAGGTCAGCCTGGCCAAAGTCTGCTCCAGGTCTTCGCCACCACAGGCACTCGAAGCCCTTGTGGATCAGAGGGAGATTTACCACTATGTGACTTTGATACCAGGACGGTGGTGAATCCTGGTATTGGTTTACTCTCAACTAGGCTTCCTGATGGAAACGCCGGACTCCTCAGTTTGGGAGACGCTGTCAGGGGATGAATCCCCCGCTGTACATCGCAGTCCGACACCCAGGAACACCTCCCAGCCACGATGAGGCGGTAAACGTGCCTGTGCGAAGAATTATAAAGAGATAAACTTCGTTTCCAATTTTCCGCTCGAAATTTTATGTTAAACCAAATCTAAGATTGAAAGAATATCTTATAAAAATTATTTGAGGCACGAGGCGAAGGGTCTTCTGTAAGTCTATAAAGGTCTCAATTTCTCTAATACTGTGATAATAACGCCTGTGGCGCTGTGGCCGAAGGCTCCCTGCAATATCAGCGGGATCTATCCACTCCCCTAGACTCACCAAGCCTTCCATCACGCCAGGGTCGACAAATTGGTACTAAACTCGTCTGAGAGGATAGCAGCACAGGGTCGACACATTGGTAGACCACCGCGCGTCATTGTAAAGGCCAGATATGCATTCAGTCACTTCTAACGATACTTAATGAACTTGAATGCATGGCGCATCCCTCAGGGATTGATCAACGCCGAGAGCTTTATTCTTTTTATTTATTGAGATAATAGAGGATTTATCGTCTGTTGTCGAAAGATCGACTTCGTTGGGAATGTGTTAAGAATTTCTTTGGAAGTGGTTTCGTTGAATCAGTATAATTTTTCAGCATAAACCTCATCCACTGTTGGCTGCATATAATAGCAAATCAAATAATCACTTTGTAGTTGATGTTATCTCCAAATGCACTCCAAGGTAACCAATGGTTTGCCACTTTGTTAAATTAAAATGCTTCCTATTTCAACTTTTTAACTGCTGTGCTTGTTTTAGATTCTTAATGTTTTTGAATCATGTCGCCATTTTGCCATTTCAGCAATCTTGAGCGTGCCTTACTAATGGTTCCACTTAGTTACATTCCCGATATTCTTTCGGCTCTATCTGTTTGTGTTCAGAAACGGTACAAAGTCGAATTCTCGGTCCGAGTTGCCATATTTTTGATAAGGTCTGTATTTTATATCCTGAATTTTGTCCTATTCTGAGTCCTTGTTTCGTAGCCGATGTTCACTATTTGTAGAGTTCATCAAAACTACGTGATCAATTCCACAGAGATGTTACCAGTTTTAGAAAAAATCGCTATGGAGATGCCAAAAGGAATTATGGATGTTCGGGTTGGCTCTTGATGCATTTCATTTTTTTTCTTTTTACACGACCCAACTTCACATCTCCCCTACGGATCCCAGCAGTTCTTATATTCGATTCGTTTCCTCGAAATCCATAATCCACGACGATCTTCAAACTTTCCACTTATGGGTTCGCCTATTGCTTTAAGATTTTCGTCTCCTTCATGACTGTCGTGGAATGTTGGTCCGGTCGATTCTTGAGTCCTGGGATAGTTGAGCTAGAGCGTTTCCATTCACGAATTCATCCAACTGGGAGAAATGAGAGACTCGGTGACCAGGGTTGAACCAGCACGTAGCCCGTGATAAACATCACTACCACTCTGCTACTTGCTTATATTATAAATAGTTTTAACAAATCGTTTTTGTCCTTGCTTGGTTTATTTTTTATCCACGTGTTTTTTAGGATATGACTGGATTCAATTTGGCAGCATTGGAATTACTTCGATTAGAAGTTGAAGAAGCACAGAATTTAAAGTTATTCGCCGATATTTCTGGTATTACCAACAAACAGAGGAAAAAACGTAAGACTAGGAAAGCACCAGTGAAGGCGTAATTAGAATATGAAGCGGCTTTGTTGTTTTTTCCTGTTATATTCTTGTTGTTTGTTGAGAATATTATTCGCTAGACATTCTTCTTTACACTATTAGATGACTAAAATCCACATCAGTTATTGTTTCTGGATCTCCTTGCAGATTGACACTAAGCTTCATTTATAATTTCAGGTGCAAAAGCTAACAATAAACTATTAAAGAAGTTTCTCTGATCTGAATTCCTCTTTGGGGGCTTTTTTTAAAAAGGAATTTCGAGATCTTTACACTAGAGCAAATCGGTGATTCAACTTCTTCTTCTTTTCGAGGACTCTTTCGAGTATGAATGAATGTTTCCTAGTTAGTGATTACGACTTTTGTAAACATTTCTTCGAGGTACCGACAGTTGTTTTAAAATTGAAAAGTGGATTTTCATTTTGTATTAAAGTATTAGGTTTCATAGCATATGAGCTAACGAAACTCGCTTGTTCTACATTGATATAGTAGTGTTCTATCTCCATATAAATCTCTTCCATCTTTTGAAGAAGTTACCGAACGGTACGGAGTATTGGCGGTATAATCCTCTGCACTACAAATTAATAGACCGAACTTCTTTAAACCTCGGCATAAATAACTGATATATACATATATATACATACATATATATATATATATATACATATGAATGCGTCGTTTTCTTGTTCAGCAATCGCGAGGTCTTTAAACAGCATACATTTACTTTCATGGAGAAACACAATACAATACAACACTAGCTGACGTTTCGGCAGTATCGCCTTCTTCAGAGCATGGAAGGGTATAATGATATGCAATCAACTAGGCCAAACGCTTCAATATCACTTACAAAAAGACGAAAAACTCCTTGGTAATTACACGATCAACAGCTTCTCGAAAAACTCACCGATTTTTTTTTTGTGACTTCCAATGAGGAAGTTTAGAACAGCTGATTATAGTCGCATATGGTTGATGACTGCATCATCCCACATCAGAAATCGATGCGAACATACGGGGTCAGGTCGCGTATAACCTCCGTGCATTCATCCCTGCTATTCATTGTAGAGTTTTTGGCATTTATCCAAAAAGCCTCAAGAAGTTTTCAAGCTGGTATGTTTTAGACTCCTGTGCAAGGATATTGACTTTTACTTCAAAATCGTCTCCGCTATGCTTTTGTATCCTATGCGTGCCTAGTGGGGTGCTTCGTCTTAGTTTTCGTTTGCCATCTAGGTGTTCTTTTATACAGATACACAACGGTCTGCCCGTTTCGCCAATATATTCATCTCCGCAGCTATTACAAGAGATCAGGTATATCGTACCTGAACTCATGCAATTACGGCAGTGAATTACGGCAGGGACAGTGATTGCATGAGTTCAGGTACGATATACCTGATCTTTTGTAATAATTGCGGAGATGAATATATTGGCGAAACGGGCAGACCGTTGTGTATCCGTATAAAAGAACACCTTGATGGCAAACGAAAACTAAGACGAAGCACCCCACTAGGCACGCATAGGATACAAACGCATAGCGGAAATGATTTTGAAGTAAAAGACAATACCCTTGCACAGGAGACTAAAACACCAGCGCGAAAACTCTTTGAGGCTTTTTAGATAAATGCCAAAAACCCTACAATGAATAGCAGGGATGAATGCTCGGAGGTCATACGCGACCTGATCCCGTATGTTCGCATCGATTTCTGATGTGGGATGATGCAGTCATCAACCATATGCGACTATAATCAGCTGTTTTAAACTTCCTCATTGGAAGTCGCGTAAAAAGCGGTGAGTTTTTCAAGAAGCTGTTGATCATGTAGTTACCACAGTTTTTGTCTTCTTGTAAGTGTTATTGAAGCGTTTGGCCTAGTAGATTGTATATCAGTATACCCTTCCAGGCTCTGAAGAAGGCGATATTGCCGAAACGTCAGCTAGTGTTGTATTGTATTGTGTTTTTCTATGGAAGTAAATGTATGCTGTTTAAAAACCTCGCCATTGGTAAACAAGAAAACGACGCATTATGAACTACCCTTATTGAGCTGATGCGAGGTCGATATAAGTTGTTGTTGTTGTCGTTGTTGTGCAATGGTTGAAGTCTCGGCGATTTCGCCTTCCTCAGCGCCATGCTGTTGCTGGTGAGACTCTGTACTACACCAATTCGGTGAAATAGTGAGTTGTTTGTGTTAACAAGCAAGGAACGAGGTAATGGTCAGAATCGTTGTGAGCGCTGTTTTTCTCTCGACTTAGGCTTCCAAGCTCTCACCACTGCGTATCGATTCGTGCCTTCACTCTCCTTATTTCACGCGTTTCGCAATCAAGCGCTTGGAATCTGTCGTCAGTTAAACAGTAGAAAAGTTCGTTGTTATACGAGCTTTAGCTATTACATTGCTAATAGTGACTCTTAGGGTTCTTTCTGTCGAAAACGGTATTTGAACTACACCTTGTTGCCTTAATGCTTTCCCTTATGTCATTATAGTCGATGAGAACACGAAAACGAATTTGAGGCTCGGCTCCATAAGAGGAAAAGTGTGATGTAATACATTTCACACTACGGTAGTGTGAAAGAAGTCTAGGAGAACGAGGAAGATAAAAACTGAAATTGTCTTCTAAATCACCGAATATTCGTATATTCGATTCCGATGTACGAGATTTGACGACTTCATCTTCTACTATGCCATCCATAGAAAGGAAGACGAGCAGATGGAACCTTTCCAATCATTATCTGATTGTTGTGCACGATTTTACAATCCGTGAAGATTTCGATCTCGAGTTTTAGTTCCTAGGATTTCTTAGTTGGTCAATTACAGTCACCGAGGTTCTTCTTTCCCTTCATGTCATCGCATTGCGTCACGTCTATATTCGATACAGTATCCTTGTCCGTTCTCTGTTGGGAGCAATTTGTTTACAATAGCGATTTCATCATTGCTATAATCTGTAGATTGCAATATAAATCTACTTTACTTAGATATTTTGAAATTAGTGCAGTGTTTATCTGACGTCGTATTTGAAACGTCGACACCATTCATTGTACATTCCGTGTTTGACTGCGTTCTTAGATAAACAGCTGTTACACCACCTGTCATAACTGTTTGTTATTTTCTTTGTTTTGGTTGCTTTTTTCGTTAACGTAAAGTTTTTTCCTGATTTTTTACTTCATGAAGGATTTCTACGCTTCCAGCTAGGGCTAAGTACAAGTTGTGCCTAGTAATATTTCGTCTAATCTTGTTTATTTTGTAGTTTGGACCATTTATACTCCTCCTTTTTATCTTTTCCTCCCCTTCTTGAAAATATCCATTTTCTCACCTACATTTTCGTCCAGAAACTGATTTGCCTTTATATGGAATTTGAAAGCGTTACATTTATTCGGCTGTCTAGGCAGGATATCCGGAAAGATAAATTTATGACTTTAGCACTTATTGCATTCGATCATAAATTGAAAAAGTAGTTTTTTTTCGTGCAAGTCTTTTTTTTGCGAGTTTTGCTTGTGTGACCATCGGTGGACTTCCTTAGGAAGATGTCTCGAACTGGTTTGTCGCGAGGTTACGTTGCGTGCCCACAAAGGCGATGTAGGACTAAAAAGCTCTCAAAAACGACCATGCTTAAAAAATTGAGTGTCAGGATAGCGGATTACATCTTGTTCGTAATTTCCGCTAAAGGTCTTCAATTAAATGACATTAAAATTTACTTCCTTCATGAAGTAAAAATTCAGGAAAAAACTTTACATTAAGGAAGAAAAGCAATCAGAACAAAGAAAATAACAAACAGTTATAAATGAAAGAGATTTACGTGTGGAATATTAGGGGTCTTTTCCTGGAAATAAGACACACATTTACTGCAGTGGAAACCGAGACTAACTGTCCAGAAGGGCAGCCGAAACGTGGAGGGGTAAGCTGATGAAGAGCCACCCGGTGCTAGCATTGCTTTCAAAATGGCAGAATGCTTAGTACAAAAAGTGCTGTTTTGTATTCGAGTGAATCACAATGGGAAGCTTTGACGCACGAAAGAGACACATAGAAACTTTACTCGTGGAAGCTTGAGTCAGTTGATCGTCAAGTAGGGTTAGAAGTACTATGGAGGAAGATGAAAATAAAGGGGTCCAGCTCTTAGATATGGGCTAATTATGTCCTAAGCTATTAAACTGTATGCCTACGATACATCTTCGATCTTTGGAAATGTGAAAAAACTGCACTTCGCTCTTGAAATGTAGTAGTATGTTGGCTTGCCTTGGGTTATCCAGTATATCGGAACACTTTTGTGAAGATCTGGACGTTGAACTAATTATAGCTGTAGAGTATTCCGCTAACTGTTGGCCTATAGTTCAGTGTTTTAAAAAATAAAGGAAATGTTCTCAGCGTTGATAAGTTCCTGAGCAGTGCGCCATGCATTCGACTTTATTAAGTATCGTTGAAGGTAACCGAATCTGGCCTACACAATAAGTCGCGGTGGCTTGCCGGTGTATCGAGGCGGTGTTGCCATACTACCGGCCAGGTGTGGGACCAATTTGCTGACTCCGGAGAGATGAAAGTGTTGATGATCGCGGGACGCGGCGTCGAACTCGCGTGTATTGTAGGGCACCTCTAATCACTATGCTACGGGCTCTCGATGTTTTACTAGCAACCTATGTGAAGTCCTCATTATCGTAAATGAATGTTATGTAAATGAAATGTTTTATCATTGTTGTTGAGTCACACATAATAACCTGCGGTGAAAAATTGTAATAGGCAGTAAATAAAAAGTTGAATTCTGGTTTAGACTGCAGCCCCATCTTAACTGGGTTCGTTGTCGATTTGATCTCCCCAGATCAATCCCGTTGACGCGTGATTGCTGATGGCCTGCTCGATAGAACTAGTTGAGAGACAAGCGAAACGAAGAAACTGCATGGTGTAATGGTGAACTCGTTAGCCCTGGAAAGCGTAATAGCGCGTTTGTTCCCCGCCGCAGAAACCTGCGGTCCAGAGTTTTGCAATTATCTCAGCATAGTGTGAAATGTTTTAGTCATGCATTACCCCAATCAACT